CTGCCATCATTTGGAAGAGGCACAATGCTTGAGTGTTCAGCAGCAGGTGTTGGAGGTGCAGCTTGGTCAAGAACGCGGCTCGTTGGGCGGCTGCCTCAGGCGTCACAAGGGGCGCCTCGGGGCGAAAGACTCGGTCGTTGCGGGCAAGCCAGACGGTGTGGAGCACGCACGCGCGGAGGATCGGCCACAATCATGGCCACTGCACGCCGACGGTATCGTTGGGCTGTTATCAGCGGTTCGAAGAGGAGCTGCGGAAAGCGTCGTGGGAAGTTCGAGCTCGAGGGCGTCGACGAGCGGCTGAAAGACCGCCCACACGGCAGTGACAAATTCGCAACGAAGCAGAAGATGGTCGTACGTCTCGAGGTCGCCACAGACGGGACAGACTTGGGCGTCATCGGCCAGAAAGTAAAGCCGGGAGCGGATCGCGACGGCGCCAAGCACCACACGTCCGGCCGGCGTCCCAGAGGTGCGAGACGTGGGTAAATCCGGCGCGTGCCATGTTGCGTGCGTGAGTCGTCGCATAGCTCGTCGTCAGCGGGCGCAGCGCATCGGTGCACTCGAGAAATGCGTTGTGCCACAGCGGTTGGTCGTGCGGTGTCGCGGACCCTTGGCGTGTTGCGCCGTCACGGTGAACCGTGTGCCGTGACTCCATCCACAGCTTCAGCAGAAAGCGCCATCGAGGTGGAATGCGAGCCGAGCGAAGGACGGTCTGTACCACTGGGTGAGTCTGGTCGCCATGCAGCAGGTCGTGGAGGTCGCCCCACGGCGCATACGCGAGCGAGACGAGCGTCCAACCGGGTGAGATCCACGCCGGGCGATCTTCGGGAAGCTGTTGCACTGCTTGCGCGGCGCGAAGCATCCCGGCCCGGTGTCGGACGAAACAATTCGTGATCATACTGTAGAATTACACTACGGTATACGAGATACTTGAATTTCGATTGTATAATAGAAAAACTCCGTTTGCGAAAAACGCCTGACACAAAGAGTTATATTATGGCAACTCCTGCCTTCGGTGAGAGGTTCGGAACGAGAGTCACTCATTCGCGCTGGTGCACTCGGCAGTGGAGGCGCGCGGACATGGACAGTCGCGTGGAAACCTCAAGTTTTGTGCGATGCGATTGACCTATGTACTAGAAGGTTTCCAACTCAACCACTCCCAAGAGCCTCCTCGTTGTCTCCCACGCATGCCGTCTTCGATCGCGCGTGCTCCTCCTCGCTCGAATCACGCACCTCTACGCGCAGAGGCCGCTGCGCGGAACACAAGGCGCTGGATATGTTCATGAGCACACCTCTTCTACGATTCGATGGAGCTGGTGGTGCCAACAAGCGACTGCTGAGGCGATGGTATGGCCCGCGCTCGGTTCGTCCGTCGCTGTCGGCGCCATGACGCAAATGGGCAAATGAAAGGGATGGAACCTGGTTGGCTGAAAAGCCTAGTTTAATTTGAAGACCGCAACGGACCAAGTTTTCGATGCTGCCAGCATAGAAAGGGTACTCGTTGAACGCTGTCGTCGTCATATCTGCTTCAAGAACCGCCGTGTGCGTCCAGTCTCACGAGCAGCGAGTATTGCATGTACAGTACATGTTGTGTGCAGCAGAATGTACAAGCAAACTATGGAACCACGACATTTCCCGTCAACGCCGAGCGGAACCACACGAAATACCATACGATACAGCTGTACTGTACTGTACTGTACGAAATTCAACACATGTGTCGTCGTCTACACCGGCGTCTTCAACAAACGCACCCGCCAAGGTGACGCATCCTTTTCCGACGGCGGCAAGCCTTGCTTTGCACGCTCAACGAATCGCGAGCTCACGTGTCTCGGCGACCAAGTCCTGTGACGTGCACCAGCGGCATGCCGGCGTCATCCGAGTCCTAAGAGCCAAGTCGATCAACAGCTCAGCAAGCACACAAGTTGACCACCATTGGCATGGGGAATGACGTCAAGGCTTCCGAAATGCATCCCAATCCGAGAGAAGACCGAGGGAACGCTCTGAGAACGCCAAGTATGGTAATCAGGCTGCTGCTACGACTCTCGGTCTGCGACGTGGTGGACCACACGCTCACAAACACAAGCCATTGTCCTCTGTGCCACATCACATCAAGATCTGTCCACACTTCCCTCGCGTCGCCTTCCTCCAATCCCGAAACGCATCGCTTCCCATTGGCCGAAAACGCGCTCTAGCTTGAGTGAGAGGCAGTAACTGCTTGCATTTCAAAAGACAGATGTTGCAATGTGTGGTAGCGATTGATGGTACGACCGTGTATCTTGGGTACAGTCTGAAGCAAAGCTCCCCTTCCATGATAATAGAAGAGGAAACCGGCCCATTCTTGTACGAATCCTATACTATACGTGGTACACGTCGTGTCCAGCGAAATGATAACAGCAGTGTTTATCGCTACCTGGTACGTTCAGTGCATCGTCAACAAGTGGAAACGCCGAGCTTGACAGTCTCAGATCTCATTCTTCAACTCTCCGTGTTCCCACCAGCACCACCTCAAATAAGAATGCCCGAGTTTACGAAAGAAGTCGGCATCGCTTTTGCGCTCACGTGGGCCGCGGCCTTTGCGACCTGCGTCGGCGGTCTCGTCATCTTTAGCGCGTCCATGGTCAAGATGGCCAACGCCAAGAACCTCTCGATCGCGCTTGCGCTCGCCGGTGGTGTCATGCTCTTCATCTCGCTCGTCGAGATCTTTGGCAAGTCGGTCGAGCAGTTTATGGTTGGCTCCGCCGACGAGAACGGCGAGTGCGACACGACGTGCGAAGGCAACGCATGGGTCTACACCGACATTTGCTTTGCCATTGGCGCTGGTATCATCTACCTTCTCGATGCGCTCGTGCACCGCTCTCGCCCGACTCAAGGACGAAGTCGACCTCGCTGACATCGCGCGCCTCGAGCAAGTCGTTGACGGCCATGTGCCCATGACGACGCCGACCGGCGACAAGGACACGCTCGTTGGCAAGGAGAAGGCGGCCA